GTACGTATTTTATAATGTACTTAGTTCGTGCAACTAAATTAACGTTGATGTGTTCTCTCAGCTTCCGACTGCAGAAGGGCTCTTGATTCAAGAAATTGGAGCTAAGCTCTCTTGAATCAAATCTGATTATTCCCCCCCATTTCCCCAGGTGCCTTATGAGGCTTACGGGTTTACCGCTTCCCGTGAATAAATGTGTATTTGCACATTTGGGTAAGCTAATATACAAAAAATAAGTGTAAAAAACAGTGCAAATTATATATATTCCTGCAAGTGTATAATCACCCAGTTTACAATGTATACACTTTACTGCTTTAATCGAAATAGTGCACATACGAATAGCGGCCACACTGGTGGTGGCACACTGGTGGTGGCACACTGGTGGTGGCACACTGGTGGTGGCACTGGTGGTAGCACACTGGTGGTGGCACACTGGTGGTGGCACACTGGTGGTGACACACTGGTGGTGGCACACTGGTGGTGACACTGGTGGTAGCACACTGGTGGTAGTACACTGGTGGTGGCACTGGTGGTGGCGCACTGGTGGTGGCACTGGTGGTAGCACACTGGTGGTGGCACACTGGTGGTGGCACACTGGTGGTGGCACACTGGTGGTGGCACACTGGTGGTGACACTGGTGGTAGCACACTGGTGGTAGTACACTGGTGGTGGCACTGGTGGTGGCGCACTGGTGGTGGCACTGGTGGTAGCACACTGGTGGTGACACTGGTGGTAGCACATTGGTGGTAGTACACTGGTGGTGGCACTGGTGGTGGCACACTGGTGGTGGCACTGGTGGTAGCACACTGATGGTGACACACTGGTGGTAGCACTGGTGGTGACACACTGGTGGTAGCACATTGGTGGTAGCACACTGGTGGTGGCACAATGGTAGTGGCACACTGGTGGTGGCACACTGGTGGTGGCACACTGGTGGTGGCACTGGTGGTAGCACACTGGTGGTGACACACTGGTGGTAGCACATTAGTGGTAGCACACTGGTGGTGGCACACTCGCCTCACAACGGAAAGCACCCAGGGCCGAACCCTGGGCGAGGCGGGACATTTGAGCAAATTTCCTAACACCTGCAAATTCAAGGGGGGGGGGCTGCTGTGATGCTGGTGAAGGGCTCTTGAACCGAGGGATTGGAGCTACCCTCCACCTCGGATCAAATCGATTACACCTAATTTCACGGAGACTGTGTGCCCCATACGGGTTTAATGCTTCTTCCATTATTTCTATTTTATTTTTACTATCATCATCCGAACACTTGATGCCCCTGCTACCTTGCAGAATGTGGGTCTTGTCATGGGGAGAGGATATAAGACAGTGGAAATAAGCCACACACCTTTACTTTCCTAGGTGATCCTGGGTTATTAACCCTCCGGGTTTACTAATCCGAATAATCTTCAACAGAACGAAGTAAGTCCACTGTAATAATTAAATACTTCTCAACCATGTCTGGCTGTCCACCTACTTCCCAGACTCTACCTAACACTGGTAGCAGTTTTTGGTAATGTGTTAAGCCCCGCAGATGTAGTGTCAAGTTGCCAGTGGTAGCATGGAGCGTGAGACAGAAGCTGTCAGTAGCGTCTCGCAGGCAGGCAGGCAAGCAAGCTGGCTGCTTAACTTGCTGGCTGGCAAGTAGACAGGCAGGCTGGTTGGTTGGCAGGCCGACTCAGAGGCAAGCCTAATGGCTGACAGGTTAGATGGTTAGGCAGGTTGGTTAGCTCTCAGACAGGCTAGCAGATTGGTTGGCTCAGGCAGGCTGTCTGCTGCCTGCTTGCCTACCTGCCTGGTACACAGGCTTTATTGTAGAAAACACCCACTCTACCCATAGGTCTTAAATCTAACAAACTTCAGCCTTTTAAACACCGGCGGTGAAAAACATTAATTTAATTGCAGATGTAAAGTAACACATAAATGCAGTTACATCTAAGGAATTTTGCATTAAAATATGCGAGTATGTTCCTCAGAATTATCGTAGCATATCTCATAAAGAACATTGTGGCCCTTCTTTGTGAGTCAAGGCAGCTATGGCGATAAATATAACTTGGTAAGTGATGTGTGGTGAAGAGGCTTGCCAGCTGCCTTTGCCGGACACCACTCATTTAACCAAATGCCAGGGGGGCTATGTGCGAGATTTTATCGAATATACAATGATTCAGCCCACAATGCTATATCTTTGAACGTTTTTCCTTTTTCATTCCTGACGTTATATTAAAAAAGGCTAGAGCATTGATGTTTTATATACCTCGTACTTTCCACTTCCTGACGTTTTCAGCTCGATGCGCTTTGATCCTTTTGTTCAAAATAACCCTTGCGTAGCAAAGTAACCTTGCCAAACCTGAATGAAATGCGCATAGCCGAAGTGGTTTTGTGCGTCCCTTTGTATTGGTAGCTCCTGTTATAGGCGCCACTGAGGCGGTGTGAGTGCGCCTGTGTGTGTGTATGTTTGAAGATGCGTCAGGGCAGGAGTACCTTGTGAGACAGCAGGCTATTACTGAAGCCCCCCGGCCTCGTTTACATGGCTATCATCACTACTTCCTGAGGTGGTCTCGCAGAGATGCCATAACCTTCTTCATGTGAGGTAGTCAACAGATTAGTGCTTCCTCTTTGAGCTTTGTTTTTGGTGTTTCTCACAGAAAGACTACATACGTACGTCTGTAATGGCCTACACCTACATCCGCGACATTGAATTATTATTATTATTATTGCACTTATGGGAAAGCTCTTAAACCGTAGGGTTCATACAGCGCATGGAATGGGAGGCATTCAGGTTCGATCCAAAGAAGGGGAAGGCAGGTTCAGTTTTTTGGGTCAAGTGCCCTTCACCGGCATCAAGGGATCTGTAGATAGACAATGGAAAAAAAACGACAAGTGGGAAGAAAGACTAGTAACACAGGATCCTTTTAGTACAACATTTCGCCCAACATTATATAAAAGGATCTGCGGCTGCGAGAGCCTGTCAAGGAATTTCCTTTAAGGAGCCTATACATTGAAACTGAAGACCAATAATACCGTCACACACAGGAGTTTCGCGAAATACTACAATTTCCTAATAGAATCCGAGTCTTTTCAATCATAGGAACGTATTGTGTGATCAAGTTAGCTGAGTCTTGTCAGGGGAACCCAAGGATTTCAGAGAAACCAATTTTTACACTTTCATTAGGGATCTAGAGGAAATGTCCGCTACAGTGTACTCACATGCCACATATATATATAGAATTGTTTGAAATGCAAAGCCAGTTACTGACTCAAAACAATGAACCGAGTTTCGCAGTAAGAGTTGTAACACAAATGTGATATAAATATATATATATATATATATATATATATATATATATATATATATATATATATATATATATATATATATATATATATATATATATATATTATATATATATAAAGTTACAGCAATAAACTGATCAATGAAGATGTAAAGATAAAAATATTAGCCATTTAATAATAAAATAAACAAGCCTCTTGCAAATATTGGATTCATTTAGGTAATGTGCAGAGGCTGGCTAAGGTTAACGGAAGTCTGATGTTAATTCAAGAGCTGTCTCAGGACGTCAGCTGACAAGAAACCAACTAGGGCGACATAGTAGTGGCCTCATAGGCGTTTCTTTGATGTCGGTGAGGAGGTTTTGATCAAAGGAATTCGACTTGCCCTCCCTGATTGTCTCCCATTTGCCCTAAGCGCTGTATTATCCCTTCAGGTTAAGCGCCTCCGTGAATATAATTTAATTAGTGGTGGTGATAGTCGTAATAGCTGTAGAAGTAAAACTCGAAATCCTCCCACCTTTATTATTAATATATAAGATTGTTTTTCTAGACGTTATGGAATCATATTAGCAATTTTTGCATCCGACTTAGAATTTAGGACGATGGGTCGATACGGTTACGCCAAAAGAACCTAGCCTAACATACATACATACATATATGTTCTTCTTTATTTCTTCTATTGTCCATGGGGAAGTGGAAAAGAATCTTTCCTCCGTAAGCCATGCGTATCGTATGAGGCGACTAAAATGCCGGGAGCAATGGGCTAGTAACCCCTTCTCCTGTAGACATTTACTAAAAAAGAGAAGAAGAAAAACTTTATAAAACTGGGATGCTTGAATGTGCGTGGATGTAGTGCAGATGACAAGAAACAGATGATTGCTGATGTTATGAATGAAAAGAAGTTGGATGTCCTGGCCCTAAGCGAAACAAAGCTGAAGGGGGTAGGGGAGTTTCGGTGGGGGGAAATAAATGGGATTAAATCTGGAGTATCTGAGAGAGTTAGAGCAAAGGAAGGGGTAGCAGTAATGTTGAATGATCAGTTATGGAAGGAGAAAAGAGAATATGAATGTGTAAATGCAAGAATTATGTGGATTAAAGTAAAGGTTGGATGCGAGAAGTGGGTCATAATAAGCGTGTATGCACCTGGAGAAGAGAGGAATGCAGAGGAGAGAGAGATTTTGGGAGATGTTAAGTGAATGTATAGGAGCCTTTGAACAAGTGAGAGAGTAATTGTGGTAGGGGACCTGAATGCTAAAGTAGGAGAAACTTTTAGAGAGGGTGTGGTAGGTAAGTTTGGGGTGCCAGGTGTAAATGATAATGGGAGCCCTTTGATTGAACTTTGTATAGAAAGGGGTTTAGTTATAGGTAATACATATTTTAAGAAAAAGAGGATAAGTAAGTATACAAGATATGATGTAGGGCGAAATGACAGTAGTTTGTTGGATTATGTATTGGTAGATAAAAGACTGTTGAGTAGACTTCAGGATGTACATGTTTATAGAGGGGCCACAGATATATCAGATCACTTTCTAGTTGTAGCTACACTGAGAGTAAAAGGTAGATGGGATACAAGGAGAATAGAAGCATCAGGGAAGAGAGAGGTGAAGGTTTATAAACTAAAAGAGGAGGCAGTTAGGGAAAGATATAAACAGCTATTGGAGGATAGATGGGCTAATGAGAGCATAGGCAATGGGGTCGAAGAGGTATGGGGT